AAAAAAAAAAAAAAAAAAAAATTGGATAAAAAAGGTATGCTAATAAATAGAGATTTTGTTAATTTACTATTTTTAGGCAATAATTAATGAAATTGGCGGGAAAGTATTTTTAAAAATAAATTATGTTAATCCTTATTATATATTAATAGATATCATTTATTTAATCAAAAAGTAGCACTCTCTATCATCCACGTCATATTTCCATTAAATCTCTCTCCATTTAAACACACACACACATTAATACAAATTCATTGAAGTACATATATATGGGACCCATCCTCCCTATATATTATTCTCGAATGCGCGGAGCCTACGTGACTGCTTCTGGTGCTTCGGAATCCTACTTGGCAAAGAATCATGCTTCGTAATTAGGTTTGGACATTCCATAAATCTTATTTAGCTAACTTAAGTATTTTAATATCACTTGTACTAATATAACCCTTTATATGTATGTAATTTTACATACTGAGACACTAAGTAACTAATATATATCCCTGACTTTTGATTTGTTTCCTTCAATTCATTAGAAAAATAAGATTATTTCTCAATTCATATATCTATGCTTAATGTAGTTATATCTTGTAAGTTAAAAAAATTATTATAATATAACATATGTAAGTTGCACAAATAAAAAATGTCATACTAAAATATATAATAATATATATATTTGTATAAAAGGTATTTAAATTTTCAACTACTTTGTTTCATTAATTTTAAATTTTAAAAAATTAGCAAGCACCCGTGTAATACACGGGCATTGTACTAGTTATTCACTCATTCAATATAAATTTTTATATTTTATTCTCAATAAAAATAAAATTTAATATTTTTAAATTATAATAATAAATTTTAAATACATGAAATTGAAAGAACACTAGAATGAATGACAATTGCCGTTTAAACGGGCCAAATTAATGGCCCGTTGTGGATGCCCCTAATATAACATGTGTATGAATTTATTTTTTAATTAAATGTTTACAAATTAAAATATAAATTTGCTTATACACGATTTTAGTATTTTACATGTAACTCGAATCTTTAAAATAATAGCTGCTACCTTTTTTTTTTGTTATTTGGGTAAGAACTTAAATTGTTATGAAATAAAGATAGCAAATAATAATTTATTGTTGATAATATATTGGGTATATAGTGAATGAACATTGGGCAAAAATCCAATTTTGATCCGTTAACTTGTCCATTGTCCATTTTTCGTACACTATCTTTCCCCTTATCAAAGATGATCCATTAAGTTACACGTTTCATCAGTTTTAGTACACTAATCCCATGGGTCGGGATTACGAGATGACAAATTAGGTTTTTATCCTACCACGTCAATATCCTATCCCTCCACATAGTTTCAATCCCTGTCCACGTCATCTCGTAATCCCGCCCACAGAAGTAGTGTACTAAAACTTATGAAAAACGTAACATAATGGACCATTTTTTATGATGAGAAAGATAGTGTACCAAAAGTGAATAATGGACAAGTTAGCGCACCAAAATTGAATTTTTGCAGTGAACATTGGATCATTGTGAGATAATGACTTGTCATTTCCTAAAAACTATGTAGATGGGAGATAATTCATATCTATTAATATATAAATATACAATGATATTTACTTGCGCAATAGTAACTCAAAATCAGTAAAAAAAAAAAATATTTCCTCAATAAAAATTCAGATTTACTAAATTGGATAATTTTTGGCCAAAATTTGAAAATCCCGCCTAGGTTAATGTTATTAATGTATAGAATGATTTTGGCCAAATATAGGCCAAATATTACGGCTATTACTTTTATTAGTTGCATAATTTAAATTTAGAGTATAATATATTGACATAACTTGTGGCTATTACCTTTATTAGTTGCATGGTTTAAATTTAGTATATAATATATTGAAAAAATAAAAATATTTTTATTTAAAATTAAAATAAAAAAATAATTATTCATAACATATGAGTCAATATTAACTTGGAAGTAAACGAAATAGTCAATTATTTGTGTTTAATAAATTACTTAATAACTTACGGGTCAATACTAACATGGACGTAAACGAAATATTCAATTATTTATAATTTAATAAATTATTCAACTAATTTTTTGATTTGAATTTACACAAAAATAAATTTATTTTAACTAATGAAACAATAGTAAATTTTATATTTATTTTTATTATTCACATAAGTCGTTGAATATATGATAATACTTTACCAAAATAACTATTTTATGGAATCACATTATAGTCAAAAACAGAATTTTTGAATAAAAATCTTAAAATGACACCTATGTTGAAACAAATATAATGTAATTCATTATCACTTATGTACACCGTACGGGTCGTGTATAAATTTTAAATTGACATTTTTATGTAATTTTGCATAATTTAAACGTTATAACATTTTCAATAAATTAATATAATTAAATTTTATTACATATTAATTCCATAATTTAATTTATAAATATTATTTAATAAGAATTTTTAATTTATAAATATAAATGAATATTTCTTACTTTGCACTATACAATACTCATACTAGTTTAATACTATACGACACTCGTACTAGTTTAATACTTTTTGGTAAGAAAATTTGTTTTCTTGAAAAAAAAAAATCTCTTTTAATGGCGATAGAATTAAAAATAATAAAAAAAATATAACATATCCGACAAACATAAGGTCAATAAAATATGAACCTCTAGCTTTTTAGACAAGTTGCGTGAAAAAACAAAACAAACGCTGGGTTAGTTATGTCAGGCCGGCTTTTTTTTTTTTTTTTGGCAGAATCATATAAATATATTATAAAAGGACACAAATGTGCAAATTACAACTATCAGACCGGCTTTAATTAATTCCATGTATGTTACAAAATTGATAATACCCTACAAATTAAATATATGATTTGATTATTGCCAACGATTCTTTTATTAAAAGAACTATTGAAAATAAAAGTTGCCACAGTTTGAACATTGAACTGATAACAATATAAACAATTCTTGCTCAGTATCAATCCTTTTCCATGATGCAACTAAATTACTACTCTTGTTTGCTTCTTAATTAACCAAAATACATAGTTGATAGCCATATAAATCAGAACAGTATAAAATAATAAAATTAAAAAAAAAAAAATGGTATACACATGAAATTTAGCAAGACTGAAACTGTTTGTGATGGATGTGATTATGCAGAGCATGAGGAAGCCAAAGCTATTCTGGGTGTCGGCCGGAGCCCCTCTACTCTCTGTCATCATCTCAACATTGCTCGTTTTCGCATTCAGAGCTCAAAACCATGGAATTAGTGTAGTAAGTCTTTTTCTCGTGCGTGCGCTTTTAATCGTGTTAGAATTTCCTTTGAACTCTTTCTTGTGGTTATGATAAATGTGATGTTCACATGTCAAATTATATATACTTAGATTGGGAAATTACAAGAAGGGTTAAATCCTCCTTCATGGAACATGCTGCATTTTCATGGTAACTATTTGGGACTCGTAATCAGAACCGGGCTTGTCACCGGCATCATTTCACTCACGGTAAGTAATAGCTGCATTTTCACTACGTTTTGTTTAACCGAACACAATTGTAGTTTTTGCTTAGTGATGAAGTTTTAGTGCAAATACTACTAACTTTTGGTTATTTCATAAGTGTTTTTTGGTTATGTTGCGAAAAATCTTTTCGAATATCTATAAAGTTTGCATTTTTACGAAAAATAGATTGTGGAAAACAGGAAGGAATTGCAGTAGGAAGGACTTTTGCGGCACTAAAGAACTACCAAGTGGATGGAAACAAGGAGATGATTGCCATCGGGCTAATGAACATAGTCGGATCAACCACCTCTTGCTACGTAACAACCGGTACATATTTCTAACACATTAAAAAAAAAAAGGATTATAAATGAGTCTACGATGGGTAATTTGAAGTAAAAGGAATGACTAAATGCAGGTGCGTTTTCACGGTCGGCCGTGAACCACAATGCAGGCTGCAAAACAGCACTCTCCAACATAATAATGGCAGTGACTGTGATGGTGACCCTCCTCTTTCTGATGCCTCTTTTTCAGTACACGCCAAACGTGGTATTAGGGGCCATCATCGTGACAGCTGTCGTCGGCCTTATAGACTTCCCAGCCGCCTGCCAAATTTGGAAAGTAGACAAATTTGATTTTCTTGTCATGCTCTGTGCCTTTTTCGGGGTTCTCTTTATCTCTGTACAGGATGGCCTAGCCATCGCGGTATACATGTTAATGTTCCCTTTGTCTTTTTTTAGTTTGATTTTAAAATATATAAGAAAGGTGTATGCATATGCATATTTAAAAAAAAAAGAGTTGATTATCACTTATGTTGTGATTTTTAGGTGGGAATATCTATATTCAAGATCTTGCTTCAGATCACGAGACCGAAAACAGTGATGCTAGGGAATATACCGGGCACCGACATTTATCGAAATCTAGATCAGTACAAAGAAACAGTTAGTGTGCCCAAGTTTCTGATCCTCAGCATTGAAGCTCCCATTAACTTTGCTAATACCACATATCTTAAAGAAAGGTTTGGTTCTATTTTTTTTTTTTCTTTTTTGGTTCTTACATTCAGTTCGATCATGGACATTATTATGTGTTTCATGTTAATGATTTTTTTTTTTTATTAGGATTACAAGATGGATAGAAGAATACAAATCGTCGCCCGAGGATGAGAATGGTAAAAAGAAGGCAGAACTGAAGTTTGTGGTTCTTGATTTATCTGGTGAGTAATTGCAAAGCAACATTGATCAGAGGAAAATAAAAAGAAGTATTTCAATCTTGACATGTATAGTACTTTAACACTCATTTTTCAGCTGTGAGTGCGATCGATACGAATGGAGTTGCATTTTTCAAAGATTTGAGGATGACAATGGAAAAGAAGCATCTGGAGGTAAGCCACACTCACGTTACATGACAACATGAGATTCGAACAAACTCTCTTGGCCCATGAAATTTCAAGTTAAAGCAAATAATCTCGGCTTATTAAATTTTTGTTTCGATTTCGTGATATAATACAAGGATTACTTCTGTTTCTGTTAATTGTTTGTCTAATTAGCGTTTGAAACATGGATGTTAGTTATGTTAAATGGTTTCTTGTACAATAAGTTAGGTTTAGGCCTTCTATGTATCTATATATATGTGTATATGTCTTTGTGAATAATATAGAACATATTTTTCCCACTTTCTTACAATGGACAGCTTGTGCTGGTAAATCCACTTGGTGAGGTGATCGAAAAATTACAGCGTGCAGACAATGCAAAAGAGTATGAAAGGGCTGATTGTCTGTTCTTGACTGTTGGTGAAGCAGTTTCTTTTCACCTCCAAAATGTGAAGTCATTCGTCTAAGTTTGTACGTATGATCAGTGGCCTAGCAGTTACCATAATTTTTTTTTTTTTTCCTTCTTGGCCTGTCTTCAGAATAATACAATATATTTTCCATGGTTTAAGAGGAAACATTTACTTGTGTGTAATCTTTTTATACTAAATGGAAATGTGGAGTCATTTATGTGATATGTATGGATGGTATCTCTGTTTTGATCATATAAGATGTGAGGCTAAACCTTATAATCAAGTCATGTATCTTGAGTCCAGCCGCATTAAAAGAAAGAAAAAAAGTGGCTGCCAAACTTTGTTGAAATATTGAAAAGGGCTAATTTTTTTTTTATTTATTTATTTATTTTTTTTTAACCAACATTGAAAATTAGTGCTGCAATTTTTGGCTAAGAAAACGCCTCTTCACATTTAATATTCCCCCTCTATAAATAGTGGGGGTACTCAGCAGAGGAAGAAACACATCAAAGCGAGAAGAAAAATAAGGAACGGAAATAACATTCAGTTTCTGTGTGTGAGAATTTTTGAGTGAGAAAAATAGAGTGTTTGAGTAAATCTTATGAGTGTGAAAAAATGCACCAGGTTGAGTATCATCTCAATTAATCCTCGTTTATAAATTCAACAGGATTGGGGTCTTACTGGGTCACTATATTTTACATTTCTAGTGTAGGAGAGTGTGGAAAAAATATTGTAACTATCTTTAAAATATAATGAAATTGTTCGGAGGTTGTCCCGTGGTTTTTTCCTTTACATTAGAGGTTTTTTCACGTTAAATCTTGGCGTCTTTTTTCTTGCATATATTATTTATTTAAGATATTCTTTGTATGCTTCGTGGTCGCAGTTTAATTTGATCTTCCACATCATAAAAGAATTATTCATGTTTTTTTTTGCAAGAGATTTCTTTTGTCATTCTTGATTTGCTGAGATTGAGATTATTGTTCACCATTTTACATTGGTGTTTTAGCTTACACCTTCTGCATTTGTGCATCTGAGCCTAACAAGTGGTATTAGAGCTCAAGTTTGGCTCTGTATCAACCAGTGTAAATTATATAGAGGAGAATGTGTGTACCATGGTGAATCCGACAACAACAAATTACTCCATTTGGAAGACAAAAATGGAGGACATACTTTTCTGCAAAGAATTGTATGATCTTGTAGAAAAGGGAAACAACAAGCCAGATGACGGAAGGATGACGATTGCAAAAAATCACACAAGAAGGCTGTCAGTTTAATCAGAGAGTGGGTGGATATCAACATATCCATCATGTTGCCACAGAGTCAAAAGCCCATACCCTGTGGACCAAAATTGAACAAATGTATTAGAGAAAGATTGCACAGAATAAAGATTTTGTCATTAGAAAGCTTAGAAATTTAAAATATCGGGATGGAAGATCAGTTGCTGAACACTTGAATGAGTTTCAAGACATGGTAAACCAACTTGTTACCATGGAAATGAAACTTGAAGAAGAACTACAGGCGTTGTTACTTTTGAGTTCTTTACCGGATAGCTGAAAGACTCTGGTGGGTTTCGTTGAGCAATTCTGCTTCTAAAGGGAAACTGTCTTTGACCCAAGTCAAAGACAATACATTTAATGAAAAAACAAGAAGAAAAGACTCTTGGGCAAGCAACTCCCAAGCTCTGGTCACAGAAGTCAGGGGGAGAAGTAAAAGCAGAGGCTGGGATAACAAATCCTTAGATAAATCACAATCTCAACCTAGAAGAAAATTCAAGTGTTATCACTGCGGTGAAGAAGGACATATCAAAAGAAACTGTAAAGCATAGAAGAACAGAGATCGGAGGAACAACAAATCAGAGACGATAAAAATGCCGCAACCCCTGTGATCAATAGGGAAGTAGTGTTGCTCTCTGTTGAAGAAGAAGAGTGTCGTGTTGCAGATTCATGTGTTGAATGGGTCATTGACTCAACAACATCATACCATGCAACCTCTCACAAGGAATTCTTTTCTTTCTACAAAGAATGTGACTTTGGTAGAGTAAAAATGGGCAACAACAACATTGCAAATTGTTCGTTCTATTTTTGTCGTGTTTATCGCGTTTATTTTATCTTTATTTTTCCCTATTTTAGGTATTTTTCTTTGGTTCTTGGTCCATTTTGTGTATTGTCGTGCATTTCCCTTGTTTTGTTTGTTTTTGGTTTTCTTCCTCATTTTTCCCAGTTTTCTTGTCGATGGTGATGCACAGGTTATGTGGCTCTGTCGGTTATGAATTTCGAGAAAGAGGTGGCTAAGCGAACCAATTATCTAGACAGATGAGTCGGGGTCGAGTAGAAAAAGACGGAATCCAATTCCAAGTCCAGATGTGTGGATACGAGTCCAAAATCGGCAGCTATGCAACAGAAATTCTTCACCGCGACCAGCGACGGTCTTCCCGCGACTGCGGTGAACAATAGAAACCAGGCATCCAGTTTTCTTCGCTGCGGCCGCAGAGAGAAGGTCGCGGCCGCGGAGCGATGTCCAGCTGCAAAAATTTCGCGGCCGCTGGATGAGTCGCGCCGCGGGAAGTCTCTTCACCGCAGCCTGCGGGGCTCCCCACAGCCGTAGAGGGCGCGACTGGCAGCTTTTATTGTGTAGTTTTGTTTTTTTTTTTAAATGGGGGCTGATGTTTAAGTTAGGTTTTGGGAACATCTCTTCGTACTTTTGACTTCCAGAATTCATATTTCACTTAGATTTCTTAGAGATTCATCTTGGCGAGTAAAAACTCCAAGATTGGTAAATTTTGGATTTTGTTTGCACTCGGGATTTGTCATTGAACCTTCGTATTAATCGTAAGTTTCAATATTTCATTTTATCTATGGATGCTTTGGCTTTGCTTGATATGAATGTTTATGTTAAATTTGTGATGAGTAGCTAAATTCGTTAGCTAGGGTTAGGGGATTATCGTTCCGGTTCGATATCATTTATGTGCATGTTAATTGCTCAATCTTTTCAAGCTGTGTTAATCCTAGGGTTAGATGATTGATCACCATCTTAATCTAATTAATCGATTTTAGAACTGAAAGAGGAGAAATCGTTCTATCTAGGCTGGTTAAGAATAGGCTTGTTCGTAATGGTATTGCCTATGTGTTAATTGTTTCAAGAATTACTCATTTATGTCTATCTTCTTGTTACGAAAAGTTATTGAGGATAGGTCTCTAGATGAGTAGTTCATTGAGTCATTTAATCGAGTTCTTGATTGCTCGTTAAATGTATGTAGAACCGAAAGCGATTGTCCCCGATACCCTAGCCCCTTATCATTATTTGAATTTTAGTTTTGAATTGTGAGTTTGAAATAACTAGCCTCGTTTTATAATTCGTAGTTGATAAAATCAAACCAAATCCATCTGATTAGAGTGTTAGGATTATTTTCTCTTTTGTGATTGAATATTCGCGCAATTTAATATGGTTAACCTTTCTTGAGAGACGACCCGGTGTTTAAATCCTTTGATTTGATTCCGGTAAGAACACTTAAAACAAATTGGCGTCGTTGCCGGGGGG